TCTGCGTCAGCAAGAGCTCAGGTTCTTTTCGACCTTGGTAGCCAGTTCATTCAACAGCAGTCGACAAGCTTCCTCAAGCTCTTGTTGCTCTTCCATCTCGATTTTTAAAATTGGCTTTGTCAGTTCAACAAAAAGAACAAGAGCAAATTGCCAACGAGGGAACAGCCTCGGTTCCGGTAGCACCTCGACTAAATTATCGTTGTACAGTTGCAATTCGTCCAAATCGTTTTTGTCAGACGAAATGGGCAAAGGAAAACAAAGTTTGGTCAACCAAGGGCACCAGCTGTAGTGCTGTTTTGCGGGATTCAGCACTTTATCTTTCTTTCCTTTGTGGTGTGTGCTCAAACCATGCGACGCAGCATCGTTAGTTTCACTACAATCTGTATCATCAGAAGTAACGATTGACAGCTTGAACGGAAGTAAACCGAACTCTCGGCAACAATAATGGCATGTGACTGTTACAACTTCACTCCACGGAGGAAACTTGTTTGGGTCAGTCCATCCGGTAACAGCTAACAGAAGCAACTTTTCGTCTAACGAAGGGAAGAAATTCTGTCGTAGGAAATCAATCTCCACTTTGATGTTCAACGCTTCGGCACCTACGACGTTTGTGTCTCTGATGTCGTCGGACACTCGGCTCAGGAGCTCACAACGATTCCTCATTTCCTGCAACACGACTGCCTTATCGTCGACCTTCGGTGTGCAGTATTGTTCGGAACAGGGGCACGATCGCCAAAAACAGCTCTGCTCGTGCGATGAAATGATACCGGATTCGATGCGCTTCAAACGCACGTTATATTCCTTGAAATTCGCTAGTGAAGGCAAATATGTCGGTAGATAACTTTTACATGATACACACTGCAAAAGGTCTTTCTCTAAACATATCCAACCATAGCGAGCACAAATCCATGGCGAGATTGACTTTGACTTCGTGTGCCAATCAATCTTGTAAGACTGTAAACGAAGTCTGAAATCTAACTCCTCTTTCACTACTTCATCCGACAAAGTCTCGCCACGCTGTCTCTTCTGAGGTGACACCGTAACGTTGTGTGGCGACGTACTGGCTGACAGACGTATCTCTTCAGCTTGACCCATCAGCGTAGCACTCAATATTTGACTTAATATCTAATACCTGTAAAGAAGAAACATATAAGCAGGCGAAAAATGCAATACACTGAAGTGTTCGAATGTCAGAAAATTTTTTTCTTTATCTACTCTTCAACTCCGCCGTTGCTGGTCTCAACCCGGATGAGAAAGGATGATTCGAGACCGTGGGGAAGCCTTCTGAAAATTTGACCACCTGTCCCTCATGCGACTTCGTCGAACATTTAACCGGTTCAGTCGTCGCCCGAGTAACCAAATGCCCCGCAGGCTATTGGGGGACTGAGACAGAGTGCGAAATGTCGGCTATCAGAGCCTACTCATCGCCTTCTGGCAACCGAGGACGCAAGCAGCAACAACGGATGCCAAAAATCGACGAAACGACGGCGGAGGTACCAATCAGCAATGGAGGAGGCAGACAGCGCGATGCCATTATTGCACGTCAAAGAATGTTCCAAGAGAACAACACCGCCAGTGGGCGCTTACAGTCGGAAATTGGATTATATCCTCACTTAGAAGGAAAGAGCAAGAGCTAGCTGATGAGGTTGCAAGGTTCCAACTCGGCATAGTCAGACTTTCGTCAAAAAAACGCCACGCTCTGGAATCCTAAACCTCTGCGGGTGGAAGCTATTCTATTCAGGTGTCGCCATCACGACGCGCGCTCAAGCCGGTGAGGGCGTTCAGCGAATGAAGCACAACAAGCTAAAGCTAGTTTCCTTGTTAAATGTATATGCGTCCAATTCAAAGGGAAAATATGAGTCCTTCCTTTAGGAAGTGGAGTATGCTTTGTACGAAGTGCCGACTACACAGTCGCTCATTATAAAATGGGCGATTTTAATGCGCATATCAGAATAGATACTGAAAAGTGGAAAGGCTTGATTGGAAAAATAGCTCTAGCGACCTCAAAAATAAGGCATGATAATGTTGCAGTTTCGAGTAAACAACGGACTGTCGATTATGAACACCTCTTCGAGCATCGAAGTGTGCTTAGTATACCTGGTGCAGGGAAGCTTGTGCACAGAAGTCGATGACCGATATCGTCTGACGTACGATGCTCAGTAATGGATGTTCGCGTTAAGAGAGGCGCAAAGCTATCAACCGATAACCACCTTGCCGTAGGCATACTGCGCTATAAGAAATGGAGTACCATACGAAGATCTGGTGGCAGAAGCAACCAAAGAATCAAATGGGAAATAATATCTCCGGCGGACATTGGAGCGAAAGTTGCAAATTTGCAAACACCGTCGCAAGACGATTTCAACAGATATCGATGATGGCCACTGATTTGGAAACCGAATGGCAGCTCTTTAAGGGCGACGTACTCAAGGCTGCAGCCTAATGCTGCGGTTAAAAACGGGCTGGCCTGCCACCTGGAGGTCAAAAAAGAACTTCCTGGTGGACACTAGAGGTACAACTGGTAGTTAAAGAAAAGAAGGTTGCATTCAAGAAATGGCTTGGAAGCAAACAGCCTTCTAATCGTATGCGATATGTCAAAACACGCAAGGCGGCAGCGAAAGCCAAAGCTGATTTCTGGAAGTTCTGAAAGTTCTGCGAGGTGCTGGAGTCAAATTTCCAGACGGCAAACAACGTATACTGGCAGACTATCCGCTGGCTTCGACGTGAAAAGAGGGGCAATCTAAGAGTCGTGAAGGACAGCTCTGGACACCATCTTTCGGAGGATGGGGACATTCCTTGGCGATGGAGAAAGTACTTTGAGGAACTTCTTAATGTTGAGTAAACCGCAGGAAGACTGTCCCGTAGAGTAACAGGAACGGATATTACTATTTCTGTAGATGAAATTACACAAGCTATGAAAAGCTTGAAATGTGGAAAGGCTGCTGAAATTGATGAAATCCGCCCTGAAATGCTCAAAGCAATGACGAACAAGGCATAAGCTAGCTTACACGTGTCTGTCAAACTGCGATGACTACGGGGAAGACACCAGTGGACTAGAGAAAGGGAGTTGTAGCACCCCTACTCAAAAAGGGACTTCAGGGAGTGCTCCAATTATCGGGGCACTACGTTACTGAACCTCCCGGGTAAAGTCTATGCAAAGGTGCTAGAACGGAGGTGCCGCGGAATAACTGATTCCAAGATACAGGACAAGCAGTGTGACTCCCGGCCAGGCCGAAGCACATATAAACAGATATTCGCCCTATGCCAGGTGGTTAAGAAATCATGGAGCTTGTCCATCCGGTTACATGTGATTTGTTGACCTAAAGAAAGTCTATGAAAAGATACCGCGCAATAATCTGTGGTCATGCCTGCAAACATATGGGATCGATGAACAGCTGTTACGAGCCATTGAATTACCATATGGTGATAACAGGTGCTGAGCCTGAGTTAAAGGCATTAAATCGAAAACTTAGAGCGCTGGCACTGATCTCCGCCAAGGGCTGCGTTCTGTCCCCTCTCCTGTTTGCGTTTACATGGATAGAGTAGTTAGGCGCAACCTGGGTGAGGAGTATCAGTGTAAGAGATATCGAGACGAGAAGGTTGCTGTTTGCAGACGACTTTATTGGCATGCTCTGTAACTGATCTACAGCGCTTTCTGGGAAGGTTCGCAGCCGATTGCGACGTGACCGGCGTGCGTGTTAACGCATCTAAAACGAAAAGCCTAGTGCTTTCTCGTTTTCATGTCCGTTGCTCCCTTCAAATTAACGGAGAGGCATTGGAGCAGGTGGAGAAGTTCAAGTACCTCGGAACTATATTTACTAGTGATGGAA